ACAAGCATGAATTACTGGTTTATGTTTCCTAGGCATTAGCCTGGATGAAGAGTTTTGCCCTTTTTTCTATACTATGTGCAGGAGCACATAGTATGATACAACTGGTCTTTGATTGGTTCCAGCACAGTATTACGCTGAAACATCACCAGCTCTTCTGCATCCTACCCCATACCATGTGTTTGATCCCCAGCCCCCTCCCTTCCTTAGCTGCCTTGCACTATACGCGAGTGGGTTTTTTTTAGCGTATGATCATGTGTTTCTGTGTAAACATAGGATCAGAGCATTTGTTCAACTCATTTTTCCTATTGTGTGTATTCCACGTTTTTTAAAGGTTGTGCGACCCCCAACTGGTTGCTGCATAACCTGAACACCTGTTACCCCATGTTTTTTGTCATGTGTGTGTCTTCTTGAATGGGTGTTCTTCACACATTGTGCAAACGATGACAATAAAGCAGGGGTACCCAAACATTTTCCCCGAGAGGGCCAAAATGAAAATCTATCCAGGGCTGCGGGCCAAATGCAATAACATAATACATGAAATACAAATAYTTYTTAAAGTAAAGTCCTTAATTTTTAAMGATTAWGCTRTGCARTGGCCCTCTTTTGTTTTAGTCTGTGCACTTGGAGAAAGTCTGCCATACTCTCAAGTAGCAAAGGCTCATGGGACATTTCATAAATTGATAAAATATGAGTTTTTGTGGCCTTAGAAAGTGTGCAAATCTACGTTCACATGGGGTTAAATCTGTTCTAAATATTTCTTGTTGTCATTTCATGTTTCATGTTTAATCCTAATAAATCAAAGATAAAGTCAGCACCATTAATGAAAACTACCTTCACTACAGCCTTTTTATATAGTCATTTGACCAATGGAAACTCTGTGTTTCTACATTTGATAACAGGTTGCAACCTTGTAACTTTGGCAACTGCTGGTCGGCCAAATCAAATGGCTTGGAGGGCCAAATTTGGCCCGCGGGCCCCACTTTGGGCTCCTCTGCAATAAAGGCTTTCATCATCGTCATCATCAACTGATAAGGTGCTGACTACTGATAATCATTTGACACAACATCACTTTTAAAATGACCAGAGTCTTTCTTGTGTAAAACAAAAAAGCAAAATAAAACAACTTTGGTTAACTGACTGTCATATGGATCATCAAATATTTTCTGTCATAGAAGAGATGGTCTTAAAATGCAGCTTTGGCATGGTAAAATTTACAGAAATACAGTATATTTACAAAAGTTTGAGATGCAGCAACAACTATAAAGTTTTTTTTTCTTGCACACATTGTGAGACAACTTGGAGATGTTGTTGGGCTTGTCCTTCGCCAAMTAATCGCCAGCAGTTACAACACACTGAGCTACTGTCCTGAGAAAAAGCGCTACAGGTATAAGAGAGCCTAATGAGGTAAAGACAGAATCCATGTGTTTGAATGAGATGGAGACAGGTGAATCTGCAAGGAGTGAAGTTACTGAAAGTAGATTAGTTTCAGTCAACCATTCAAAGCAAMAGGCAGTAAAATAAAGATGTGAAGGAGCAAGTGCATGCAGGGTGGAAAGGTTGGAGATGAGTACAAGRGATGATTTGTGACTGTGGCTGCCTGATCCGTCCCTCTGATCACAATATATGATGGTCAGAATGTATGATGGTCACAATATATGGTGTAACATGTACTGTCAGCTCATTAGTGCATGTGCTAAAAGAAACAGCTCATTTGCACATGTGCTAAATGATAGACTTCTGGAATGTGTTTGATTTAGGAAAAAATACTGAAAGTATTTATTTCTATACTTAACTGTAAAGGTGTGTTACATTACAGTATATTCTAAAACCAGTTTTAATATTGAATATATTCTGATCAATAAAATATAGATTTACAGAGCGTACATATTACATTTATAATAACTTACTAACTATTTTCTAGACAATGTTATAACTCATCTTATATTTGTTTATTTTTTTCCCTGCAATAAAAACCCACAGCTGTTGTAAACGTTGCCTTTTCTATGAAACATTGCAGGTGATGAAAGACTGAAATTAAATGAATTCTGTCATCAGTTTAGCAAAATGCTACATGCTAAAAACAACATTTCCAGGACAGTACGGATCATGCTGTTACTAAGTTGCTAACTGATATTTTTTCAATACTTTCAAC